AAAGTTACTGAGCTGCTTGAACTTTGGCAAAATTAAGATAAGATAAATAAGTATTAAAAGTTGCTCTCCGAGTCCGTAGGCATTATCTCCAAGTTCAAAAGCGAAATTCACATTCATGGATAATATATAGAAATTTGTTCTTGTCAGAACTTTTCTTGATTAATCGTAATATAATGGTACTATTGGATGTTCAATATCTTTTATCCAAAATAAGTGGTTTGGGAACAAGGGCATTCTTAAGCAAACATTCTTGAGAGCAATTGTCAACTGAAAAAGAAGCTAAACTTATTCTTTCCAGTAATTTTCTAGATGCTTTGAGGGAATGAAAGATCCGGTGCACAAATTAAGGCTTGTTTATTGTGAGCAGATTGTTTTATATATTGTTTTTTTTATTTGTTAGTTTTCTTGTTCTTTATTATGAGTTAAAAAGATTAGAAGGAAGGGTGCCGATGGAGTGAGGTTGATTGACAGATGATGAGCTTGAGTGATTTGAGACACATGAAGTGGTGGACCAGGGCCTCCTATTACCTGAAACCAGTTAATGAAAGATAATCAGGATCAAATTAACCTCCGGGGTTAACCTGGTGTCTAGTTCAGAGGTTGCATTTTTTGGAAAAAATGTCAAGGAGGTTAAGGAGAGTAATTTGTAAATTAAGGCCTCAAACCTTGATTGCAACTTCAATTTTGTTTTAAAGGGCTCGGTTGTTCGCCGATCCAAGTGGTACGTGAGTTGGGTTTAGAACATCGTGAGGCAGTTCGGTTCCTATCTAACCATTGTTGTTAAAGGGAGAATTGCGAGGAGCCAACTCTAGTACGAGAATCTGGAGGAGAGTTTTGTCCTTGTGCATGGCATCAAGCTTAACTGTTTAATAATAGTTGTACCGTGTCCTCCGCTATTTGATCATTACATCTTTCGGTACTTGGAACATTGCATAATTTTACTACCCTAAGCTTGTATAGATTGTTGAGCTCGTGGGAGCCGTGGGTTATGACCTTCCCTGGTCTTAACCAGCTTGTTTTGGAGCTCCGAGCTCATCATATTTGTTATATATTAATAATTTTGTAATTTGATGTCTCACATGTTCTAAAAGATTAATTATATAAAGAATTTCAAATCACACTTTTTTTCTTTTTCTTTTTGATAAAGGAACTTAAAAGCCCTTTATATGCAATGCGTTTGAGATCAACAAAGACATTGTGCAACAACCAAAGCTTTTGATTCCTACTTTGCTCCTAGCCTTTAGGTCCCATGACTGCAATTTTCGTGTTATATATTTTCTGACTTTTTCCTTCTATTATTTTGCCAGATTTGTTTTTCATTTTCTAAAGCTTCGATCCTAGTCCTAGAGTTTAAAAGCTATTTGTTACCCATGTCTTTGGATTCACCATCTTTTCTTACCCCTCGAAAGCGCATTTTGTCCCAACTGGTTATATTGGTTTCATCTGTAATTGCTTATCTAATCCACCTACATCACAAGATTTGAGTGTGTGAGGCAATTGTTGTGTTGTCGCCAAAATGATTCGACTACTGGATAGGCTAGCTGTGGGTGATGGACTAAGGGTTAGATTTGCAACTAACTATGATGCCTTGCATTTTAACCTTTACTGTGTCAAAGGGGACCCTTAAGACTACTGAGAAAGACTATACTAGAGCAGATATCAGTGCCAGCATGTTGGTTGTGCTGCCAAGGCTGTTTACCATTCATGAAAGTATGTATAGTTTATGAATCTACTGGTGTAGCCTCTGCAAGGTGACTGTACTTCAGAAGAATATCAAGTTTTACCTCCTAAGGAGAATATAAGTTGGGTTTGATTACCTGGATTTCTTTTTGCCGCTGTGTGATATGTACTTCCCGGTTGTGATTGGGTTGCATCAGGGATCAACTCTTAGCCCGTTATTATTTTCCTTGGCGATAGATGCACTGGCGCGCAACATTCAAGGAGAGGTGCCATGGTGTATGTTATTTGCAGATGACAGTTCTGACTGACGAGACGCAACATGGTGTTAACTGGAGACTGGAGGTTTCGAGACAGACCCTAGAATCTAAAGGTTTCAAGTTGAGCAGGACCAAGACAGAATACTTGAAGTGCAAGTTCAGCGACAGGACCTAGGAAGCGGACATGCATGCCACAAGTCATCCCCAAGAGAAGAAGTTTCAAGTACCTTGGGTCAGTAATCCAAGGAAATGGGGAGATTGACGAGGATGTTACACATTGTATTAGAGCAGAGTGGATGAAATGGAAGCTCACATCCGATGTCTTGTGTGACAAGAATATGCCACTAAAACTTAAAAGGTAAGTTCTATAAAGTGGTGGTTAGACTGATTATGTTGTATGGGGTAGAGTGTTGGTCAGTCAAGAACTCTCATGCCTAGAAGATGAAAATAGTTGAACTGAAGATGTTGAGATGGATGTGCGTTCATTCTAGGTTAGATAAGATTAGGAATGAAGATATCCGGGAAAAGGTGGGAGTGACCCCCGTGGAGGATCAGATGCGGAGGCGAGGCTAAGATAGTTGAAGCCTATGAAGAGAAGAACAAATGCCCCATTAAGGAGGTGTGAGAGGTTGTCCTTGGTGGGCATGAGGCAGTGTTGTGAAAAGCGCTCGCTTCAGCGCTTAAAGCGTGAAGCGAAGCGGGAACTTGGTCGCTTCTATGTTGTGAAGCGTAGCAGGTGTTATAAAGAGTTCGCTTCTGCCAAAAAAGCGAGAAGTGTGAGAAGCGACAGTAGCGACTGAAGCGAGAGCTTCGATATATTAAGGCTGCCAAAGATTAAAAATTAAAAAAGCTCTCTTTTCAAAACATATCGAGCAAGAGAAAAAAACAGGCGACTAGGGTTCCCATTTTCTGCACTTTTCAAGTTCAAGTTCATCAAGTTCAAGCGCAGGTATGTGATTTCTTCTTCTTCTTCCTTCTTCTTCTTCTTTTTTCTTTTTCTTTCACTGTTTCAGTCTCAAAATAGCATCGAAATGCTGCTAAATTTTTCCCCTCCGGTTCTTTTTTTTTTCTCATTCTCCTCTTCTTCTTCTTCTTCTTCTTCTTTCATTGTTTCAGTCTCGAAATGCTACCCAATTTTTTTCCGTTTCAGTTGCTGCCATTTTTTTGCTTACAGTTACATATGTTGTCTATGCAATATTTATTTTGATATTTTTTTAAAATTCCGCTTCACTTCAAAAAAGCGAGTGCTTCGCTTCTCGCTTTAAGCGAAAAGGGGCTTGTCGCTTTTCCTCGCTTCACGCTCTTCACAATACTGGTATGAGGATAGGTAGAGGTAGGCCTAAAAAGTATTGAGAAGACGTGATTAGGCAGAACATGACGCATTTTAGCTTATCGAGGACATGACCCATGATAGGATGGTGTGGAGCTTGATGATTAGGGTAGAAGAAGAGTAGGTAGTCGAGCGTTTTCCATTTTCTTTCCCATACCAGTAATATTAGTGTTATTCTTGTATCTTTGTTATTCTTAGATTGCTATTAGTACTTGTTGTGGAGGTTGATGATTAGGATAGAAGAAGAGTAGGTAGTCGAGCGTTTTCCTTTTTCTTTCCCATACCAGTAATATTAGTGCTATTATTGTATCTTTGTTATTCTTAGATTGCTATTAGTCTTGCTGTTTGATTGCTATCTTTCACTTTAGGTTTCTTAATATCTCGTTGTTGTTATTGCTTGTTGCCATGCTTCTTTTCATCTTTTTTTTAACCAAGTGTCCATCGGAGACATCCTCTCTGCACTCTCATGGTAGGGGTAAGGTCTGTGTAAACACTACCCTCCTCAGACCTCACTTGTGAGAATTCATTAGATTTTTTTTTTTTTTTGTTGTTGTTGTTGTTGTTGTTGTTGTTGCTGCGGTGATATGCACTAACTGAAATTTCCATGACCTGGATATTAAATAATTGACTAGGGCATCTGATGGAATAAATAAGTAAACAAATAAAAAACAATGAAACATAGGATCAAATCTGTGAAATATGGAACAGGTTTATAGATCTACGTCTCTGTATGAGATTGGGAAATAGTGTTTCAGAGATTTTTTTGCACCTTCATCTCAAAAGGAATGACACTTCCTATTTAGGAAGTTTAACAGATTTTTCTGACTGCCTTTTTTTCATTGTCCAAACATCTTTTTAGATGCTTTATTATAGAATATTTTAATTTATGTATGTTTATGTAGTTTTAGTTTATGTATATTTAAAAAGAAATTAACAAAATCATACAAAAGATTGATCCGCGGACCTTCTTACTTGCAACCCTGCATTATCTTGGGATGGAGGGTGTATTATTTCTCTGTGCATTTGAACGAGAATCTGCGTATCCAACAGAATCTAATGTTAACATTATGTTGTCCAAACATTACAGTTACTATACTTTGCTTATTTTCCAGTTTCTTTTTATGTTACATGCATATTTCTTATTCAGTGTAACCATTCATTGAGTCTTATGCTGGTTCAAAAATTGGGAAGCATAGATATAAGCTGTGGGTCTTCGTCCCTCACTTCCTTTTGTGGACTCTTTGGAAGGATAGATTTTGACATTTTGTAGATATTATATCTGGTTGAGCCGATTTCTGAAACAACTCGTATTTTGATGCAAAAAAATCTTTGCAGATGGGATTGAAGACCTTGTACAGTTCATGAACACTAAATTCCTAACTGGTTTTATTGTATCCTCTTTTGTCCATTCTGTATATTCTTATTGTTTTTTGTATATCAGTGTCTTCCTGTTCCCCGAAGAAGTTCAATTTTGTGCATTATCTTAATTGGCAATTGACCTAATTATCATATCTATTTCCCTTCAAGTCTACAATAAGATGTTAAAATTTTGCTGTTGTGAAATTGATCTTCTATTGCATGATGGATACAGTGAACTATTTCCATGTAGAATCCATAAAGGACTACTGACATGTATATAAGCTTTAAAGTATTGCAAAATGCAAACTTGTATGATTAGAATTCAAGCTATGGTTAGTATGTAGAAATAAAGATGTTTTCTTCACTTCTTGCAGTTCTTTGAAAAAACAACTTATTACGGCAAGAGATACCAGGCGCGTAGACATATTATGCTATAGGCTTTCGTTGAGCCAAAAAATTTCAGTTGGCACCAAAAATTGCCAAAAGCTGTGTGAAGTTCTTGATGAAGCTGTAAAGAAGCTTGAAGCGGATGTAGGCCCTCTGACTGGTTTGCCTGTGAAGATGGCTAGAGGTATTGTGAACAGGCTCTCATTTGGCCCAGCTGTTCAGCAACTTTGTGGCTTGGCTATTGAGTACATAGATGCCCTGCTCTCTGAGAGAGTGTCCCAAATGCCGTCTAATGCTAAGATCCAAGGTAATACTCATTCTAATTTGAGGTTTGTTATTGGAGACATAGACACTGTCCTTATCTATTTATTGATTCTGTAGAATTCCTTTCTTTTCATGTGTTACTGTGATGCCTTCATTATTTTCTTTGTCTAAGTTTGGTGCTCATTTAAGTCAAGTGAAGTAATACATTTACATGGGGCTATATTTTGTAGATTGCAAAGTGACGGCATCAAAACTTGTCAGATTTGAAGATGTCTTTGCCTCATCTGTGACTGTTGTTTTGAGTTCTGA